CTAGCCGGAGTTAAACCACCACAACCTCCCCCTGCTTTCTGACTGCTACCGCAAGACTTGACAGCGAGCTGGGCTGCCCAGCCTGCGTCCCTTGGTGAGAGACCAGACCGATGCACTGCCTCCTCCATCCTTTTGCCTCTCACTGCTGAGATGCCTCGGTCGCTTAGAAGTGAAGCTCTTCAGCAAAACTTGAGGAGCAAATCGCAATTACAAATACTCTGAAGTGACAAGAGGGTAGCTCATTAACCCTTCTGTTTCTGGGCGATCACACCTCTCCATTTAATGGACTTGAGGGCTATTATTTGTACTTGATGCTACGAATGTGACGCGTTCATTACTTACACGACTGATCAGATACAACAGCATCCTCTCTCAGTTACACTGCCTACCGAAAGCATCACTTACCTCCTTAGTTGTGAAGATGCTATACAGTTCTTCTGCCAGAGAGTTGAAGATTTCTCTCATGAGTATCTTCACTGTTGGAATTTTTACGCCAACTACATCCGGCGGCCGCGGTGAAACGGAATCCTGCAAGGCAAACAACATTCACGTGAATATTGCAAGACCGAGCATTCAGAAGTTCTGGAGCGGCAGGATTGTTGTTACCCGCGCATTCTTAAGGATACCGCGTTGTGAAAGTACATTACTTACACAACGTATGTCCGTATTTATTTTACAGTATTATTAAAGGATTCACTAAATTAAGTGAAAAAACTGTGAATGTGCAATTTGCTCCACAGACACCTGGAGGTAACTTTAGCCCAGGGGAAGTGATCTGCGCAGGGGAATTCCGGCGCCGCAGCTACAGCTGCTACCCAACACGGGCTAGCAGCATTCACGTACCCCTTAATGCTGTTCCACGCCTGGCAGACCCCTGCCCAGGATCTGTGACAGGTCGTTTCCGTGCTGCCGGCCCTGATCAAAGCAGTGAAGCAGCAGCTTCACCCCAAAGGCTTTTCATTTTTGCAGGTAAACACGGGGACATGCAATCAGTACCGCAGCAGAATCCACAGTGACTACAGGTAGGGTCACAGTTTGTACAGCACTTAACGTACTTGCATGGTGTTCCCGCTGAGTTTTTGCTCAGCAGCCAGCTCCTGACCAACAGTGCCTTTTGTTGGTGGAATCATTCCCAAGGTAAACTCTGTAGGAAAGAAAATCACTTTTTTCAGTAGGAAATCGAGCTGTACAATCACCCCGACGCTTAGATATGTAGCGAAGATTGCTGGCCAAAACTGCGGAGAATGGGTCAAACTGTGAAAAAGGAGAGCGCAGAGCGGGACGCACAACTCCAATCCAGCTTCCCCACACGTTTTTATTAGCAGAGCCCAACAGCAATTTCCCCTAAAAACACAGATTTTTCAAAGTTACCCAACGAAAATTAGTACCATCTGCCCATTAAGGCAGGCACTGTCTCCGTGAGCTTCGTAACAGTCCAGCAGAGAAACGAGGAGCTGAGGGTTGGGTGCTGCTGCGCTAGCCACCCGCCTGCAGGGCTTAGGGTGAGCGCCGTGGTCCGTACGTGGAACGCAGCACAGCCTGCGGCGCTACGGAGACTCCTGGACCTTTGACAGCAGTACAGATCTGACGGGTAGGGCTAACTTCTTTCATCTCGGCTGGCGACAACCCAGAACAGAAACCGTACAAACCCGAAGGACTTGTCAGTATAAGACCGATCTGCTCGAGAACGAAGATGGCATAAAAACGTACCCAGCACACTGGCTCAACTTACCCCTTTTAAGTGCTTTCAGGTAATCTCTCAGGGCCTCTCTGACTTTTGTGGTTCCTTCCGTTCTCATAAGGTCCTTCAGCGCATCGCCTTCCCCTTTATTTTTGCTAACATTTATCTAGAAACAGAAAACCAACAAGATCTCAGAGGCATCTGAACCTCAGCCTTCTGGGTTCTGGCCACAAAGTATTCTGGCTTTGTTTATTCAGAGGACAGTTGCAACTTCAAGTTCATTAACTCCTCAGTTTATCCTACCTTTGCTAAAAATAAGCCTTCTTGGGTTTTGACGTAAATACAAGTTCATAAACAGAGTTTCCTGCTGCACAGCAGAGGCTGAGCGATCCGTGGAAGCCACGGTATCGACCGCTACACGACCAACAAGGGGGTTCCTTAAGTTATTAGGGCTTGGGGTTTTAAGACTACAGCAAGCGGAGTTCTTCACAAATGCGTAATTCGTTATCATCACAAACAGCAAGTAGCAAAGAAAATGGTGCACGTGCCCAGTAGGTAAAATTGAGAACAGAGGCAAGTCGTTATTCCAAGTATAAAAAATGAAAACATGAAATTGACTATCCAAGTGTCATTATCCTGCTTAATCACGGGAGAAATCTAAATGTGATGCCTATATGTGGATTAATGCTTTATTTAAGAATTCTGAACCTATACAGTCGTATCAGTATTGCACACCTACCTCTGTATCATCTACCTCATTTTCTTCTGACAGGTTAGGAATTTCAACAAATGCCTTATGTTTCTCACCAGACTCTTTTACTGGACCTGTATTAACATAACGAATTCTTAAATGCGTTATTAAAAACTATTTCCCCCACAGCAAGAGTTTTACGCTTGGAAATTAGATGCACGAAAGCGTTACCTGAAGCAAGTTGCCTAGAATGTCATTTAAAGGAACTGAAGAGCAACCGGTCTCAACCGCGTCACGGTGCTCTGACCGTCAGCTCTTCCCAGAACCGCGTGTTCCTGCACAGCCCCATCGCCACACGCACACGGGCACGTGCGCTGCCGCTGCCCTCACCTGCCATGGCCAGCTGCCCTCATGCTCTGCTTACAGCCACCTGACCTCTGCCAGCACGGAACGTGAGTCTGGAAGGGGGTGGGGGGAAAAACAGCCGCCTCTTCCCCTAGATGTCTGCCCTGTATTTACACGCCCCCTGGAATAATAATTACGCCTTTCCGAGTATGTGAAAAGCTGCCAACATATAGGTGTGTTACTGCATATGTGTTTAACAGGTATACAAGGGATTTTTTCTTTTACAAGCTAGGAAACTTCACATGCACGTTTTTTAGAACTCTCGTTCTTACTCTTAACAGCTTTGCCACAAACTGTCAGCAGTCACTGTGCACACCAGACTTTGCAAGAAGAGAAATTGCGCTCCACTTCTGCATCCTTCTGGGCAAAGGCCCACCATCACTCACCTACGCAGCTCGATAAACATGTTCTGGGGTATGAACCCCGTACTACACCTCTTTGCCTCAGCACTTACTGTGGAAAGATTGAATTTAAGGTCTGGCACTTCCCGCCTCCTTTCCCTTCTTTCCCCCTGCCTTGCAACAGCATGTAGTTATTGAAATTTATTCACTATTTAGAGCATGTCAAAGTCTCTTTAGAAAGCGATAGCAGAAACATGCAGCTCTGCCCCAAATGCAGTTACCTTCATACTGCTGTATCAGCTTAGCTGTCAGCACATACGAACAGAACACGCACCTCTGTCAGTCTACCAGCAAAACTCGACGGTACAAACAGCCCAGCGTTAAGCATGACGAAAGGGGAATGATCACGTAGTATTTCTTTGGATTCTCTCCCCTCCAAACGAGCTTCCTAGATCCAGCCACTACTTAACAGCACTCGCCTTCCATCACTTTTAATTACTACCCTGAAACAACCACCTTGCTACAGGAGCGCGCCGTGCAGGGCTGTAACCTCACGCGGTCAGGAGCACAGCGGAGCGCACAGACACACGCGCAAGCCTTCCTTAGCGAGGCGAAGAGTGGACGAGGGTTAGTAACACCGAGTGGAGTGGGTACGGCACAAGGATCCCTCCCTGGTCGGGAGCCCCGTCAGCGAAGCACAGCGCAACGTGCCAAGTCTGTTCCTCCACAGGCAGACCACCACGTCCGCACAGCCGAAGGCTGAACGAGAAGTCCTTTCTGGGGCTTCTCAGAGCCTTCCAGAACCTGGGAGCTCAAGTACAAAGCCATGAGAAGTAATTAATTACACTGTTAAAACACTGGCGGGCCCAACACAAATCCCACGCAGCCATCTCAATTTTTTTCTTCACTGCTTTCTTCTAGGATTAGTTCAGGCAAAACCACACAACGCCGTCTTTGCAAATAGTAAAGTAAAACTTATTTTAAGCCGCTCTCCCCAAAAAGGAAATGCAAGCTTGCAGAAATACATTTTTTAGGAGTAAAACATAAAGCTGACTCCTATCCACCCAGCTGATTTTATTCACAACTTAAAGATTCCCAAATAAATTTCAGTTCACAAAAAGAGTACAGGGATTTTCCCCCCCTTGAGAAACTGTTTGTCCAAGGGGTAAATGCAGATGGTATCTGTGCTGGACAGCGCGGTCCAGCTGGTTAACAGACCGAGCTGGTGGATCAACATTACACAGGCAGAACACTGGTACGGCGCTGATTTTTTAGTATCACGGTAACGGAGGCAAAGCTATTACCTTTTCATCAAACAATCAAGTTATTTCTTTGAATCCCATGGGAATCCAGCAGACCTAGGAATAAATTATATCCATGTTTCCTGCCAACCCACTCTTTTAGAAATCGGGTAGTGAAAGCACAACTCAAAGATACCTACCTATAAGCCCACTGCTAAAACACCTGATTTTTAACAGGGCACACATTTCCATAAAGCTTCCATCACAATGTAAAATAATCCATTAAAATACACCCTACACCTTCACACAAATGATGGAACAGCCCTGTTGGTCAACTGCAGTGCCGTTAAGTACCCTCAGTTCCTCACTTCCTCATTGCTCTGTAATCCAAATCGCTACCGGCCAGGTTTTTCCAACATCGGACTTTTCAAACCGGCTGCAAATTTCAGGGTTTATATCCTTTTGTTCTTATGTACCCAGATTTAAATCGTAGCTTGCCTTCCTAGTTGTCCTAGAGGACTTGCAGAAGGAAATAATCACAGCAACTGGAATTTTTAGCAGCTCAGGCTGAACTCATGTCTAACTTGGAGCTCTCAGAAATGCACAACGTGCTGGCTGTCAAATTAAGAAAAAAAATCATCCCCAACTCTTTCAGAATTCCACTGTGCAGCAGCAAATGCCTTTAAAACTAAGCTCTCAAAGACCTTACCCACTCAGTGCAAGAGTGCCCAACGCAAGGTCTGTAGTTACACACCGAAAAGCATAAACACCGAGCAGCGGAAGAAGAATTTAGGAGGAATTTGTACAGAAATGCAAAGAAAATGCAAACCACTGCCTACTTCTGAGCTTTGTACACTGAAATAAACAAACAGCAAACCCAAACTAACCGGTGTTTAAAACCTTGATGATTTTAGCTTATGTAAAAAAGGCCCCAAAACATCAGAGAGCTGATTATGATTATTTAAACCGTGCTGATATAAACTGCACGAGACAGTATAATGTTTGCCTTTCTCTCTGTCAGCATTTACATCAAACTGTAAGTATGTGCTTAGTTTATAACACACATTTAAGGCACAGTTAACGATCAACACAAACATAAACAAACCCCAGTACTTCTTTGAGCCCCGGTCACTGCGGGAGCAGACCTCCCCGCCGAACCTGTTCACGACAAGCACCGAGCTCAGCACCCAAAGGGGCGGAAGTTCAAGTCCCAGGCAGCCAGACCAGGAAAAGCACCAGGAAAAGGAGAATGCAACACCAGACAGCCCGCTGGAGCAGCCAACACCCTGACCTGCAGCCCTGACCCAGGGACTACAGCCCTGTTTCAGGGCATGGGGATTGAGAGGAGGAAGTTAAGTATGGCCCTTGGTATTCCCACCTCCTACAGTCGCAGCTGAGGCCTGGGAAATAAGCACGGTATTTTGGGGAGATACAACCTGCCACTTGGCATTACGATACCCACGTACAATTGCCCATCCCGGGGCTTTTTCTCAGCTCTTCCTGCTTGCACTCCAGCGCACGAGATGGCACACAGCTTGCTATGGAGTTTTAGCCATCTGATAAATGGGAAGAATTCCTTGATGTTACCAAAAGCTACGTCCTCAGGTCGGTCTGCAAATAAGGTGCTGCCATGGGACAAGCACAGCAGGGGATGAGCCTCCAGGAGTCGGGGGTCGCAAG